ACAACACAATGACTTCTATACATCAATCTAAAACCTTTTAGAGAATTGTTTATGTGCTTTTCCTTTCCTGTTTTCCCACTTTCGTTCCTATTTTCTTTTATTCCTTTATTTTTCCCTCATGTCACCCCTTTTTCTTTAATTGTTGATACCTTTTTTTGGTGCTTTTGAATCAAGTCCTTTCGGTCCAGCGGACCTGTGTCGGCGTTACTGTCCTCAATGTTGAACTGTGTCATGTGGTTGAATTCAGATCCTGCAGGAGCTGGAGTACGGAGCCTCTGTGGACTGGTGGGCCCTGGGGGTGCTGATGTATGAGATGATGGCCGGACAGCCTCCGTTCGAAGCCGATAACGAAGACGACTTGTTCGAGTCGATTCTCCATGACGATGTCCTCTATCCCGTGTGGCTCAGCAAAGAAGCTGTTTCTATCCTTAGAGCGGTACGTGTTGTCTCTGCACCATGAAACTTCATTTGATTATAAGAGTTTGAGGAGTGATTAAATTATCTTCAAAAGGGCATCTGCGTCCAAGTGAAATGAAGAATAGTTTAATTTTAGCTTGTTTAATTCAGTAAATTTTGTCCGAATCAGATGATGTATGAAAAATACATAACTCAACAAAAACTAAATCTTCCTGTGAGGAGGTCTTTAGACAAAAGCTTTCCGTCAATCATTTATGCGATGATTTGGATGTCATAATGGGCTGAATTTTGTTAAAAAGTGCCTTTTTTTTTACATCTTGGTTGCATAAAGCCTCAGTTTGTGATTTGTGTGTTAGTTTAACATTCGAGTCAAAGAGCTAATCATCCAATGTTCTGAAAACCTGTTGATTTATCGCTCTTCTGAAGGTATTTCCAGAATCACCAAAGACTTTTCTTAAGATCTGGATGAAAAAATATTCCACCTGTCACACAATAAAAAGGAAGACAAGAAATATATGAACACATAGTTTGGAAATATCAGACAATAGAAATTAATAATAATATTGACAAATGAAATTGATAAATTATTTATGGTTGGTTCACGTTGTACAAATTGAGCAAAGTGACAGATACCAGATGTTTGACACAACTGGGAAGCAGAAGATGCAATATTTTTTCATCCAGATGATTAAAAGAGTTTGGAGGATTCTTGAAATACCTTCCCAAAAACTGCCCATTTTGTTAAATGACCTTCTGGGTATTTCAAAATTGAATATTATGAATTCAATGGTATTGCATGAGAGGCACAAATCGGGGCTAAGTAACAATTAACAATTAAAGGTTACATTGTAATGTTTAATGTTTTAACACTGAAACAACAGGTATATATAACCCACTCTTTTCACCTTCTAATCACCATGCTGCATTATGAAATAGATGTCTGTGACCTCCAAAACTTTACTTTGAAAAGATGTCACCTCATGCAAAAAGGTTTTGCTCAGGATTTCTAGGTGTACGTCCTATGTTCCTGTGGTCATTGTTCTCACACTATCATTTATGTCCATATCCTCAGAGCTACACACGAACAACTCAAGTGCACTTAACAGAGGTGTTACGAGTCACTTTGCTGTGATACCGAGAAGAATAAAAAAAGTCAGTCAAAGAGGTTAAAGTAATAACAATGTGATCATAAAATCACAGTAGATCATAAAGTGCTCTCACAATACTCAACAGACAGCAGAACAAAAGAGACGCAGCTTTCAGTGACAGTAAATAACACCAGCTCTCTGCTGACCTGTTTCATCACTCTGCCACTATGTCTCTTTGTTTGTACCATCCACAGAGCCATTAATGCCTCAGCTCTATTATTAGCACTGAAATGCTTCCTGCTCAATCCCTCGTTCTGCTTCTGTGCGTGTCATTTTATGGATGAAACCACAGCTTAAAGGGGCTGGTTTTCAGCTGGTTATAGTTTGAAATCAAAAGTGTGAGCTGTGCGTTTGTGTTTGTGTTTGTGTCTAGTTCATGACCAAGAACCCGGCCAAGCGTCTGGGCTGCGTGGTGAGCCAGGGCTGCGAGGAGGCCATCAAGACCCATGCCTTCTTCAGAGAGATCGACTGGGTCCTGCTGGAGCAGCGAAAAGTCAAACCACCCTTTAAACCCCGGATTGTAAGGAACAAACACATAACACACACATACACACTAATAAACAACGACAAATGTTTCACAGTGTATACAGAACTGTAATGCGATGTACTTGTAGTTTAATGTATCCTATGTTTAAGGTTATTTTATTTCTGTCTTTTACTGACTTTTATTAAAAAACTCCCAGATTGTCTATAAAAAGATGCAAAATGATTTTATCCTCCACATATGCAAAACAAGGTCCTCCTTTGTGAACAGCTCAGCTTATGGTGATGGAACAAAGAGGGAAAATGCAAATGAGCCACTGATCATGTAGCACAATCCCTTAAAATAATAACAACAAGCTAATTTTGTGTTATTGTCACATTTTTTAAGTAAATTCATTTAAAAGTTAAAACCCCAACATTTGAGCCTTAATTAAAGTGTACTGTTCCCAAACGTTTTGGCTTGTGGTCCCTTAAACCAAAGGCAGTGTGTATATGTGATCTCTTATTACAGGTTGCATGTGTTAATGAGAACCAAAGAGTATATTTACTCTCAGATGCATTTATTTAAACAATGTGTAGAGGCCAAGGGCTGGTTGTTGTGCACTGACACCAAACACCAGACACCAAAAGTTTGGCGTGGCATTAAAATGCAGGTGTTGTATTGATTGTATTCCAAAATAAGATGCAAAAGGAAAGATAAAAAGAGAAAAGAAGTCTCAAAAAGAAAGATTTATAATTTAAATTTACTATTCTTGGTGGCACCCACATGTTGTAGAACATGTTACCACACATGTAGCTAACATACACAGGTGTGGGTTATCACAGCAAAGGCAGTAAGTCTCTGTGGTCAGAAGGTGTCGCTCTGATATCACTTTTACAGCACTAGATTGTTTCTTTCTCTGACGTCCTTCCCCTGTGTGTGTGTGTGTGTGTGTGTGTGTGTGTGTCTCTGCAGAAGACCAAGCGAGATGTGAATAACTTTGACCAGGACTTCACCAAGGAGGACCCTGTGTTGACGCCCACGGACGAGGCCATCATCCGACAGATCAACCAGGAGGAGTTCAAAGACTTCTCCTACTGCGCTCCCGAGGAGACGCAGACCTAACATACACACACACACACACACACACGCACATGCACACTGATCCAACACTTAACCTGGCACGCACGTTCGCACACACACTGCTGACCATAAATCCCTTTACAAAACACACACACACGGTCACTCCTTTACTTTGAAGCTATTGGTTGTTGTTACTTTTGGAATATTCTTTACTTGCATTGTGTTGTTCTTGTTGCCTGGGTTTATTATGAATATAAATATGACTATGACTATGACTATGAATATGA